ATTATCAAGAACATAGAAAAGTTTTTTAAAGCAATATAAATTATAATTGTGGTAAATATAACCTGTAGGTGCACTATCAATGGTAAAACTTATTTCAATCTGATAATCTTCAGTCGATGTACTCAACCCCATTTGGACTAATAAAGAAGAAATTTTACAAACCTATCTTTACCAATTTTACCAGAATAATTTACCACCCCAAATTCTTTATGCTTCCGAAAAAGTTGAATTGAGGGCTGCAAATAGATTGTGCATTATTTTTTTTGGTTATATACTGTATATAAAAGTATGCCTGGCGTCTATTTGTTACCAAATGTTTTTTGTAAACAAATATCATCAAAAATTGCTAAATTTAATTTTTAAAACTGTCAAATATTTAACGAGTTTAGAGCCAGGTATTTCCGGCCATCGCAAGGTCATATGCAGGTTGAAAGTATATAAAAACGTTAATAAAAATTACAATTGATTGGATTATTATTAGATGCCTTTTTTTGTGAAGACAAATATATGCTTTTATGTTATTACATTCAACAAAGCATGACATTAAACTTTATTGAGCCACGTCTAATTATTATTAGCGTGCTAAATATCAATATAATATCTCAGTCGACAAAAACCATAACTTTTGTCCAAAATTATTCAATCTTTATTAAATCTATGTTACAATAATCGGCCGCGTTAAAAGCTTGGGCAAGTTCGCATCTAATTCCTCGCAAACTTAAAACAAGTCATAGACTTCTTTAAGGTGGAACATGTAACGTGTGAATTCAAGTTCTAACGCCAGTTTGGGCGTAAAACGTCAATTATTGCAGTAGATGATGTAGGCCATAGGATCCACGTCAGCATATTAATTTATAACCGTAACCACAACTTGGAAGGTTATTCGAGAGCGAATGAGAGTTTACTTAGATTTTTTGTACCTTAAGTCATTTTATTTGACAAGAAACTACCCTAATTGGAAAGTAAAGTTTGAATAGCAAACAACGATAGTTTTATCGGTTAGGTTGATTGATTAATGATTTACTATGCCGTAGGGATGAGACAGAATGAGCCGCCAATTAAAGTCTAGCGTTGTGGTATTCATAGATTAATGCTCTTTTGTTTACGAGCTCCCAAATATTAGCGTAATGACCAGTTGTGTGCTACAAATGCTCACAACTGGTAACAACGCCATATTATAATAATGACTTAATGATTTAATTTGCTAACAACCGTCTTAACTTTATGTCTCGGTGACAAAAGTAAATGTGATAAGTTAACCGACAAAAAAAATGGTATTGTTTTTGACAAAGTAAACCGCATTACCATCGGATACTTACTTTCGTGGTAGAACAACGTGTTCTTGTTCTTGTTCTTTATGGTAACCCTATTTAGTGTTTATAAATTTTTTGGGGGCTTGGATTAATGTGCTAAAATCTAACATTTAATAAACCAGGATTGATTTTAAAATCATAATATGATTTCAAACATAAATTGTTGGATCAACTCTAAGTTTTTCACAGTATAAATTATTCTAACTTTTGAAATTTGATCTCCGTATTGGATGCAATAAGACTTTGTACGAGTTTGGGACCTGTCTCAGTTCGGAACCCAGACACTCGGTCCAGAACTCAGTTGTCTCAATCCAGTAACCAATTATAAATATATAAATCTATGTATTGCTTTTATTTTATTGCAGTGTTAGAAAGTCTCTCGTAAGCTCGATCTCAGGGCACTAAGTACAGCAAAGAAGTCAGTATGAAAACCGTATACTAGTACAGTCATTTCATCAAGCAAAATTCTTACCTCATTCAAACCATAGGTTAAACATGTAAATATTCCTGCGATAAGAAACTTACACACTCTCAATTACAACTGATTCTGGACTGAGTGTCTGGATTCCGAACTGAGACAGGTCCCAAACTCAGACACAACACATTTATTGTATGTTCGAAACGGTATATTATATTGTCTCGATGGATGCAGATACACGAATACAATTATACAGAGTTACCTATATACAATCATAATAAAGCTACTATGCCTGCTAACTATTAATATACATTCTCACTTACCGTAAAACTCCAACATGTGTAACCCCCCATGACGATGTACCCTCCACCAGTTTCAGAAGGCAGATTTTGATTTACTTTACAGAAACTTGCATTTTTTAAAAATGTCTCGATGAGATTTGCAGGACGTTGTGCTGATAACCATGTGACATTTACAATCAGAAAATATTGCAAACATCTCGTCGTGATGTCACCAACAAATTGGCGATCTTGTCATGAGATTCTGCTAGATTGTTCAACTTCGTAAAATTTCCATGCATCCCCGAAATCTCGTGGGCACATCTTCACAATACACTAAAATTAGAATCCTCATGGTGATTTCATTACGTGATGCCTGTTAGATAGTGGGGATCTTATTCTGATGTCACAGAGAGATTTATAAAAACTACAGGTTTCTGTAAAGTATACCCTGGGTACTAAATATTTTTTGTCTTTTGATTTATAGCTTTCTGTTAGTATTGATTTGAAAGTATATAGATATAATGTTATGATCAATTTATCATTATTATCACATACATATGTTAAGTCAATTGCATTGACAATAATCAATGGTCAAAGTTCATCGAGAATACATCGTGGTGAATGTAACAGAGAACCATTGAAATAAATTAATTTACATAAACGATTGAATTGGTTCTATTTGTGGTTATTACTATTCCCAAATATTATCACTTATAACTACTTCACACTTTTTTCCCGGACAGATGTACCTGATTAATACCGTGTACCTATAGGAGTATCCAGGGTACTAAAATCAATTAGGGAAATACTCCGGGTACACGTGATGGAGTTTTATGCCAGAAAAAGTTTGTATTAAATGATATATTTCAAATTTCAGCTGATCCGGCATAATTCTAGTAATTACCGTGAATGATAAACAGAGTACAAAAATTACATAATACTCGAGACACTTACGTACTCGATTATGCAAGCATTGTTTGTCACACATTCTTACGAGTATATCGTAAAATCAATGATACATTAACTAGGGCCACTGATGTATTTATTACTGCTATATTAGGTACCAATCGTTCAATATCGGCGACTACATAACAACGTGACATGTTATCAATTCAGGTGTTAGAACTTGTTTCGTAAATGGATCGAAATCGGAATGTCCTGCCTATTAATACTTTGGCTGCTACCGATGGCAATCGGTTACTGCTATCGATGGTAATCAGTTACGAAAATATGTCCAAAACCCTAGTCCATGAGAGACTTTGGCCCTAGTCTCGGTGCTAACCAACAATATTAACCTTATTTGTCAATCATTTACATCAACGCCAGGGGATGGTCTGGAAACCGTATCACAAGATTTCCCATAGCTTGCGAGAACCGATCGCCGTAGTCCCGATGCTCGCAAACCCGCGACTAGTTATTGAGAAATGTGCCAAAAAGTCTTACTATATCGAGCGTCAGAGGTAATGACGTTATAGACCGCACTCTCCATGGAACAATGGAACGGGCCCCAAAATGCCAAGAGTCTACTACCGAGATTACATGCCGGTGAACATCCAACATACAGGTGTTCCATTTCACGTCTGCGTATTTCACTTCTTTAAATTTGGTCTTGATTTCTCCAGCTTCATGTCGTTCACCGGGTCGTCTTATCGCAGATGTCAGAGCTGCCCGAGTTCAAAATGATGCAATCATTTTAATATCTGTATACATCTGGACGTCTTCGATCGTAATTCCCAAACGTCTTATATATCTTTGAATTGAGTTTTGATTCGTCTTTCAAACGGCTTCTATTTCTGTGCTTCTTGGTCAGCATGGAGTTTTCACTAAACCTTTCCAGGAATCAGTCATAGAAACGTTATATATCAAATTTTTCCATTCTCAGATTTCGATTGTTTATCTTGACGTATGCGATCCGCTAACCATAATATATTCAAAGTTAAAACCTTCTTTATACCTTCATGGCTTGACTATTTTTGCGTAAAGTATATGGACATTTGAACGTTGATACTGTTAATGAACGTATGGAACCCATTTTGTGATTTGTGACGTATCGAAGCCAAGTTTGAGAGACAAATTAGCTGTTCTTCCGTATCCACCGTCATCTGCTAGTGTAACAATCGCCAATCAATGAGAGAACGGATAAGAGAGAGCATAGTAATAGATGGAATAGATATTGTGGTTCCCGATTGTCCATTCTGGTTGTGAGAAACGGGCGGCAAATTTTTGGTTTCACGCCATGCCTTTTTGTTTATATCATGTGATTAATATATACATTTTTTGCAGACTTTGATTATGTACTGTCGTAGCTCTTACTATTTTCCCATCGTCTTGCTGCCTTGTATAAACAAATTCCATTATCGCACTGGTTACTTTACTTACATTGATTATTAATAATCCGCCTTCTCAAAAACAAAAAGCCCAATGTTCTGTTGAATTCCATTGTCTGGTATTTTCGAGTAAATTCCATTCATCAATAAATCAGCCCAAAAATTATGAATAAAAAATGGGTTTAATATCCAAAATTTCTATAATTATGAATTAATGACTCATTACCTGTTGTTGTTAAGTAAAGCTAATAATTTAATAAAAACTAAGAATAAAAACGTTTAAGCCTAAGGAGGAGCAGGATATAAACTGAACTCTTCCGTTGTAGCATTCCCTAATCTCCTCTCTAAGAATACATTATTCCTTCTCCTACTCAGTGCTGCCAACTGCTCGGTCAAATTTCCATATCTTGGTTCATAGTACCAATGAGCGATAACAATATGGAATTTATAGTTGGGAAAACTGCTTGCTAAAAATTCAAAGAAATCGACGCCCATCTCGTTTTTATTATTAAATTCTAGTCGCAAATTCTTTAAAGCGGGTAAATGTCCGGGTGAGAACAGCTCAGCCACGCCAAATGCAGTCACGGCTAAACATCCAGCAAGATCAACCCACTCCAATGCAGGCCATGAGTTAGGACTAGTGGCAATGCAAAGAAGGAATGCATCTGTGATGTCGGCTCCTATTACTCTTAGTTCTCTGAGGTTAGTACAGTGTGCGAGAACTGGAGCGAGGAAATCGTCTGTAACAGCAGTGACTGGACTCGCAAATAGCCTAGGTCCCCATAGTCTGAGACTTTGTAGAGTCTTATTGTTAGACTTCACCCAGTCACGTAAGAAGTCTGAATCTAAATTCTTACATTTAAGCAACTGAATAGATGTCAACGATGTACAACAATTTAGAAGTAATTCCTTGTCATCCAATGACAAATCAATCATAGAGAATAAAATTGATTCTATGAGATGAGCGTATTTGGTTAAGAGTCCGGACATGACAAAAGTATTCCATCTGTCCTGGGAGTTGAATGAAACCGAGCGATAGTTGACAATAACTGCACACGAATGCCATCGTTTGCAAGTGAGTGAGATGGATGCAATGTCCCTTGATAAATCACGGAGATGATGAAAGATGTTGAGAAGTATGTCATCGGGGAAGGAGTTTATGTCTCGCAAAGTTCTGACGGACATTGTACAAACGGAACTAGAAGCAAAAAGAATAGTAGTGAGTGGAATATGTGAGTGTTAGTGTTTAGAAAGCCGCGGCGTGTCTAGTCGTGTAAAATTTTGGTGTTTATTGTTAAATAGTTGTCGAGGTTATGATATTGTCCAATATTTGCACTTTAATATTCTCTTATTCATCTGATATTCCTATTGTACTTTGTAGGTTTTTTTCGACTTCTTGGGGTTTTTTTTTCGTGTTTGGGTGTGATGATGGCTGCAATAAAGCGGGGGGGGAAACATCAATCTTCCTGGTAAGCATGAATTGTGATGCAGAAAAGGGGGGTTTATAAATTTTACTCTAAATTGCTGCAAAGTTACGTCATCTCGGGTAGAATGCAGTCCAATGTTTGTAGTGCGATTATATGACATCACTTACGTATTTGGTGTAAATTATGAAAATCGGTAGACATTTTTGGCAATGCAACAAAAAACGACAAAGTATTTAGGCATCCGCGGAACATCTAGGGAGGCAAGTCAAATACCCTACCATCGCGTTGTCACCAGCAATGACCAAATTGGCTTTGACATTCCCATTGTTCTATACTGTTGATAGCATAACCTATCGACACTGTGCATCTATGGACACATAAATAACATGCCGAACCCAAACAGGTCGACAACATTACGTTATCCAGTTTACGTAAACAAGTATAGTATGGACGCAGTATCCGGTGGACCGTTACGAACGTTAGTGGTAATGGTACGGTAATGGTCATGTTTGATGGATTTGTTTTTTGGTTAAAGGCGTACAAAGGGAAAATTGCGACACAAACTCAAGGATCAACAATCGTGGAGTCATTTAATACGATTCCGAAACCCTCGTCCAACGATACCAAGGGATTGTAAAATCATGTATATTAATATACATGCACCCCTAATGTAAATTCTCTTCTTTCTTTCTCAACTCGAGCAAAAGAGCCTCTGCCAAAAGCGGACATTCGATAAGAAATAAAACACCAATGAAACGCACAGCGAGAAGATCGTGTCATATATATTAATATTAGCTATATGTGTAAGTATAATCGCGTTTTTAGTGTCAATTACAATCACAAAACAATTATGCACGTGAAAAAAAAGGGAATAAATAAAAGATCTCCCCTATCATGTGGCAAATTATGTGTGCAAACTTTCTGTTATCGGATGTAACACGATTATGACCAATACTATTATTACTAATTATTACTACGATTATCATTATCGAACAGATTTGAAAGTATTACTGGAGGAATTCTCCGTTGATCGTTGCCATATTTGTACGAGAGATATTGCATTATTAATAATCGACATTTTGTAAGCCAATGGCTGATTGTAAAGATAAGGAACGATCAGTATAATAATTAACATTTGTCCCCCTTTTTTGTCACATGACATAACATATTACCTATTCAAGTTGTAGCAACAAGTTCTATATAACGGCTTTTGGTCCTCCATTGCTAGCGGCTTCACATCAAATAACAGATTTGGGACAGCGTAATTACTGACACTGGCTGGTAATGCGACAATGGATGGGAATTGTTTTCATGACAAATAACTAAAGAAATGTTTATCTGATAAGCTTCTGTTTGCACGCACCCAATCAAAAAGCAAAGTAATTGTTGACTTTTGTTATGTACATATTACTTTATCGATGTGTAATACCACAGGCGTAATCAAATACAAAAACAAAAAAAAAAAAAAAACACTAGATAACGAGTAGACAAACACATATTTATATACGATATAATCAACATAATTGTAACAGATTAACTATGCAGCTGTCAATCACAAGCATTTAATTATTAGTGACTTTCAGTATCGTAACAATATTCCGAATATTATTGTACCAGTCGTATCGATAACGATGAGATGTTCTGTGCAAACAAATTTTATACAACAGCAATGATTTCACTTGAAGATGTATTCTCTTCCCTTCTTGTTATCATATCTAGCCCTTTATAGTTTGGGTCGAGTTTGATATATTCTCACAAGAATGTTTTCACAAGTATTATACATATTATCATGTCATCTGAAGCTTGCAAAGCTTGTGAACGAGTTTATAGTCTCAACAAGGGTCGTCTATTCTTGTTACACAGTAGAATGTCTGGCCTGTTGATTCTTGTAAGATAATGTTGATACTGACTGTGGGATGGAGACAATAGTATGGATTTGGTAGAAGGAATCGTCGCAAACTATTAAAGAAATCCAGTAAGTAACACGAGCCCTGAAAAACCACATCGCACGTTGTACAGTATAATAAGATATTGCGGCAGACTTGAAAAAGAAAAAAAATTTACCCACTGCATATTTTAAGAGCTGCTATACTTATTACTGCATTAAGCAAAGTGTACTATTATTAGACTTTAAATGGTCTGTCATAAGTCATAACATACAATAGCGATAGCAAAATAGAAGCGCACTTGACTAACTCCATATTAATATGATTTAGGAGTGAACGTTTCAAAGTCATGGAGAAAAAGAATGAGAAACCAATCATAATCGAGTGCTAATAAGTTTAGGTTTAGGGTGAATAAATCTCTTTTTAGACAAATTTATGCAAGCATTCGAAGTACAGAAAACTTTTGGGATCAACACCAGTTACGCTTGATCAATAATCTCTATTCAGGCACCTGCATGTGACTATGACCATTGTTTCATTCTGGTTGGTTGAGTTATGGCGTAAGTGCATTGTTTATGTCGATTGGCTAAGCAATGGGCGGGTATGCATTGCTTCATCTCCAAAAGAAATGCAGTTGGCCCATTATATGCTTTATTATGATCAGTCACAAGAGAATTCATACCGATCCTTTTTCTCAATCCATTCGCAATTCACCTTTTTGGCGTCAAAGATCTGTCCATTTAGTGAATTTCATAATAACTATCGTACAGCCCATCGCCACTCCTAAAATATGCCTTCGTTCATGCATATAGCTTAATCGACGCGATCATCACATGCATTCTTTGAAACAGATTTTAGAGAAATCCTTCTTTGTGTGCCTATATTCTAATGGGCGATAAATAGGCCGCGTTGGCGAGTGTGTTGGTCTTCTCTTGAAATATTCTTGTCGTAAAAAACGCTGAAATTAGCTACATACCCGATTATCCAATAGATATATAACAATGAATAAAAAAGCATCAATTATCCAAATAGCTGTAAATAAGACCGATGTCGAGTCGATAAAGTACTTGGCTAAAACAGAATTAGGACTGGTTAATAAGGAGTTGAGAAAGAAATGCTGGTCAGTAAAAAGAGTTATAACCAAAAGCTGTTCGTTTACTATCACCTCGAATAACTCATAACCGACCGGACTATTCACACATTTATTGACAAAATAGGCCCATGCTAGTACGTAATTATACTAATTACGAGAAAGTAAAGGAACAATGTATAACAATTGATGAGAAAGAGAGCCAACAAATCTTGGTTGATGTTAATAGGACAAGAAAGCATCTCCCTAAAGGTAATTATTATGGTGAAATCAATGCAGGCAGCTTTCATACATTGTTTATATTAATTCTTTTTGTTGGCACTAAAATTTCTCTTTATTAGACATTGGTGATTATGAGAAGGAGAAATTCATGTCGGAATTATATGATGTCATAGTTGCTGTTCTGGAAAGAAATCCAGATCTTAGATACTACCAAGTTTGTACTATAATTAACTTTTCTATATTTCTATGACCAAAAGTTGTTTGTTTATGGACGCTAAAGGTTGCATATCATTCTCTCTCACACACTAGGGATTTAACATGGTTTGTTCTGTCCTCCTCATAACGCTTGGCAAAGATGACGCAATCATGGTAGCAGAATATCTTGCACTGGGTCCGTTGAGAGACATGCTTCAGACAGGACTCGAACCTGCTTTAGAACGATTACTAATGGTGCGAGATATAGTCGCTGTCAGAGACGTTAAACTATATCGCCATCTCGAGAGGTAATTTGTGTATAATAAGCTATAATAGTGCAGGTAAACAATCGTTAACATTATCAATACTTTTTGTTAGTATTGGCATAATGCCGACGGCTCATTTTGCACTGAGTTGGATAATGACATGGTGTGCCGACGCTATCAATGACATTGACGATGCAGCAAGAATATTTGACTTTTTATTGGCTTCGGTGGATGATATTGACATGTGTGCTTATATCTGCGCATCTGTGAGTAGAATTCTTGTCGTCAAGTTTGTCTATGTGAAAGCAAGAACTCACACAAACACATACTAATACACACACACACACACACACAAACACACACACACACACACACACACACACAAACACATATATTCATCTACTAGATAATACTCTCACGTAAAGGACAGCTTCTGGCTTTCGGTGAAGATATCGATGCAGCATACATAACACTATCCGAATTCCCGCACACCAACATCAACGTAATAATCAACAATGCTTTAACCTTATATAACGCTTCGTTCTTATTCCGAATAATGCAAAAGAGTTACCACTGTCTGACGGAATTGCGTCACAGAGTTAGTGAAACAACGTTGACTATTGCGAATACTGTTGTACCGGTAAGAACAACTATTCTTGTCTATTTTGTATATATGATTGACAATGACCAAGTTTTTATTGTAAATCATTTCAGACATTGGAATTTACTAGATGGACTGCACTCGTTTCTAGTCCATAGAATGGGCTTTCGTTGCTGAATGCCTATCATTGGGTGCTGGCGCCTCTGTTTGCACCGTATTTGTACAGTAGAGTAGAATACAATGGAATAGACTAAGATTGTAAAAAAAAAAAAAAAAAAAAGAAGGAAAGGGAAACGGTCTACATAGATGAGATTTGTTTAAGGGAACTGTAAAATGTACTATTACTTTTTGAGATCAACTACGTTAAAACGAAAAGAACAGTAATTAAAAAAGTACCATACCATTCCATAACAAGAAACTCATACGTAACACGAAAATGGTTATAGGGGTTATATTAACAATGCTTTTTCTCGTACTATTTTTTTATATGAGGTTGAAATAACGGCTTTGGTGTTGAAGCGCTATATTCCTTGCCTCTTTGTTGATTTCTTTCTTAACATCCAGCATACCATACCTGATCATAAAGAGAGCATTTGAATTGAATTACTCGAGATAATAGTGTAGAAGGATATTAACGAAATCTCAAATAATAAGCTAAAGGTGATGTTAACTAACTCTGTTTATATAGCTTTTATTTCACTAAATAATAGATCTACGTGTAAATATGTTGGCATTAATTATTAGTGGATGATATTTGTGCAAACTCTGTACCACTGATCGACCAAAAATCGAATATCATGTGATATTATTCACAACAAGGTGCTCGCTAAAGCCCAGTTTGAGCTGTTATTAATATGGAACTACCCCTGGATCATCATCAAAAAATTTACGGACACATGGCTGCAGTGGGTGAAATTATAGAAGCAAAATTTAATTTTATGCTAAATTTTTGTTAAACTTAAATCTTACATATATAGAAATAATCACGTGTCCGTAAAATTTTGATGGCGATGCTGGGAAAAATATTAATATGGGGCATGCTGGACAAAGCGAACATTTGACCATGTGAGCTAAAAGAGGCTGATGTGGCCGAAATATTGTGGGTTCATGTCTAAATCCATAGACTAATTTCTACTTTCTATTTTTATATCATGACAAATGTAACCTGGTCAAGATAAACTATTTAATTGAAGCTATATAGGAATATGTCTATATAAAAATAAAATATATGACATTAAATACTAATACCAACGAATCACAGCACAATTAGAAACATTCTAAAAAGGACAGGATGAAAAAATTGCTCCATATAATTTTAGAATCAGCGATACAAAATATCTGGATAAAGAAAAAATTACTTATGAAATTTATCAAAAAGAAAATAATAAAAACCAACAAAAGAACATTAATGCCAACTTATGACGACCCAAGAAAGAAACGAAAGCAATTTAACGTAAAAGCTTCCCACCACTTATCGAGCAACTATCAACAAAAGATCGTTCGTTGGCTTGTTAATAAAAGACTGCTTGAACGCATTCGTTGAGCTTTGACACAATTGCAACCAATTATGTAACAGTGATTCAATTTTTGTAAGCACAATTTATTATTTTTATTATCGAATGCGATCGTGCTTGAAGAATGAAAGCACCAGAGTAATTGCATGGGAGGAAAATACTCGGACTCAAAGCCATTAATAGTATGCCTATTTCTTTGGTCACTCTGGTGTAAATTTAAATTTCATTATCTTCTTTACTAGCACTATTATCAATTTCTTTATTTTTATTTTGTCATTTTTATGTTTTTCTTTTCTTCGTCAATCCAACATTGAATTGACTCTGGTTTTTCCCTTGGCTGAGATAGAAATTTCTTATTGTATTAGCAGCAATGGTCTTTCCTTCACCAAGTAACTTGTGAATTTTGAATCCGATTTCAGTTCTTTCGTCGTATAGTCGTCTCAAATCGTTTGATATCTGGCGAATAAATTTTGTTTGTCGCCGACAGCTTTTTGTTGTTGGTTGTAATTGTATTGTCCTAATTAAAAGACTCGTGTTGCGGACAAATATGCAAGTTAGCAATGAACCAAGAACGAATCCAGAAAAGAATTCGCTTGTGAATGTAAGCATTCTTGCAACGCGTTATTGTAATTAGTGGAAATTGAAAATTTGCTTGTTTTAAACGATGTTGTGGTTAATTTCTGAAGTGAATCAGTGCTTTATTGGGTGGTTGCATTCGGAAATCCACGTACAGTCAACTCTCCCTAAATGCACGCGGGGAGTTTGTATTGGTAAATCACGTGATACCTTAAATGTCATATTGGCTTTTCTCTCTTTAATACACCTTTCAAGAATATTTGCCATGTTCACTTTGTATATTCATGAACTCTGACTTTTAACCCAGTTACCGTATCCTGTTTGAGTTTCCTCATTATCGCGAACATGCTAATACAGACGAAGCTCATATTTTTGAGCATCTGATAGAGTAATATTTTTGAGATATGGTAAGTATAGCATTTATTGAAAGACGAGGTTTTAATACAATTATCAAGCCAGCAATTAGTTAACAAATTGTTACGATGATGACTACGGAATGTATTCTTCTTAAATAATTATTACGATAGTTAAAATTTATTCGTTGATTATATTTAGTGTCTCAGTATAACTAATAAAAGTAATTTAAAATAACCCGATGTTAGAAAGTGTAGTTTCAAAAAGCTCTATAGAAAAACAATCAGACAAGTTATAACTGTCTTGCTTGATACAGTACTTGCATTGCACCTCAATGGGAAGGAACCAGATTATGACCTTGGTCATATAAGCAAATGAATACCGCGTCCCAAATTATGTACAAATTTGACAAATTTATTAATATGGTTGCTCCCGCTAGACTGAAGAACTAATGTACAGCTAAAAAAATTCCAATACTAAAATTTGTTGAAATAATCTCGCACTTGTAATTTGATAGTTAAGCAGCGAAGTAGTTCGCCCGCTTAATCTACGAAGGAAAAAAAAAAAAAAAAAAGGAGGAAAATCATGTGATTTTGTTGCAACGTGTTTTTGGGGATTGCTTCAAAATGGTGAACATCAAAACGTAAAACGTAAAATATCAAACACAAACACTTCACAGAAGGGAAAAGTCAGTTAACGGAGGAAATAGATAATTGTCTTGAATTCTTACAAGTTTACATGGTATATGAAACAGAAATTGAGGAAATAAAAAGTCTGAAGAAAAAGAAAGAAAAAAGCTTGTTTAATCACTCAAATAAACTGAAGCTAAGTTGGCGTCGGTTGCGATTCTATACTTGTGGCATTATTGATTATGTGGTCAAATCTAACAATCAAATATAATTTACAGGTGATCACCAAACCAAAATATATCGCCACTAAAAAACCCTTTTGAAAAAAACCTTTTGTATGTAGTTACCAAAATTTCTAACCCAATTTATTCTTTATCGCCAACAAACCCCATGACATAAACTGACCCACCAGCGGACCCGACAATGACCTTCTCATGATCAACATCCATACACGTTGGACCCATACTGATAGTGGCCATCTGCTCAGCCATGCGCATCCATAATCCACCAAATCGCTGCATTCCTTTTTCAGCAGAATGAACGTAAATACTCTTGTTGTTGTGAGTGCGACTGTTGAATCTCGTACTAATGACCACTCTTCCCTTCTTATTGTCAGTAGCACCACACCAGGCCTCGGCGATCGATGCAATCTTTTGCTTAACTATTGGGTCAGCTGCAAAATCTGGTTGAATAATTACTTCATCTTCACCCTTTGGTGTCTTCTTCCCCGTCTTGACGTATTTATTCTGCCATCTCAGTTGCCATATGTTTCGTGGAGTAGCGCAGGTCAAATCCATTCCAGATGCATTAAACCATTGGATCGGCGCGTTTTCCGGAAGTCTCCATTTATGTACCTCTTGCTTTTCTTCGATGGCAAACGTACGTATCCATCCATCGATAGATATCGAGATCATATTATTATCGCCGACTAATGCACATCCCAAGATCTTTGATAATAGAAGAGTCAGATATATATTTGATCCCGAAATCAAATAAAAATATAAATTTATTTACCATCTGTCCAATGCCTCTGAATGTGGCTAATTTGCTGCCATCGCGCCAATTCCATATACAAATGGACATGTCATGACCAGCGGTAGCTACATGCTTGTCACTCATTGATATATACTTGACGCCTCTATTGTGACCCTGTAATGTACATATAACTTCTCCGGTATCCATATGCCATACAAGAGCACGCCTACACATATTGTCAACATAAGTATTTAATGCTATAAAAAAATTGACCAAATAAATCTAGCCATTAAACAGCGCTTACGCCTACCCTTGGTCGCTAAACCCTGCAGTAACTATTCTCCGTTTAGGCAAGAAATCAAGACAGCTGACGCCCTTCCCTTGCAACACTTTTGTACACTTTCCAGTCCGTACATCCCAGACACGCACAGTCTCATCAGAACTTCCCGTTACCAGAGTTGATTTTTTCAATTTAAGCGCAGTCACGGATGCCGTATGTCCTTTTAAAAATTTAATCGATTGCACATTCCCCATTGCCCAGTTATGCTCCCTATAATGTAATCCACGATAAATGACCTCCCACTTGGCAGAATCAGATGGGTAAACCAACGGTTCAGGATCTTCAATGGTAGCATCTAGACATTTCTTCTTCCACAAGTCAGGCTCGTTGACCATCTTTCGCCAGCATTTGGAAACAGTCCGCGAACGGCACAAATCCTCGGCTGTAAGCAGAGAAAATATTTTCACGCCGAGTTCGGAAGGTAGGGTACCGATAATGTCAAATGTTGTTTTGACGTAATGGTCGAGCATTGCTTGCTGCATGTGTATGTCGTGTGGATGACAGCAATCGAGGAATTCGTCGAGACTTGTGGGGAGGTGGATGGTAACGAGGTGTTAACATAATTGATAAACTTTATGTGTTTTAAAGTTTATCTCATAACCGCAAATAATTATTCGGTGCATTTTAGATACCTACAGCGCTAATCTTTCTGATGCTTCAAGCGTCTTCAGATAATTACGGATCTCTAATCTGCCTTTAGTTAGAATGGGTACAATACTTGTGCCCATATCACCCCCGGCTGACTTGCTAATGTTTTTATTGTCACAATGTCGATGCTTGTATATAAGAAAAAGGGAAAAAAGAGTTATAATGCATTGACTTAACACGGACCAATGTATCCATAATCTCATGATCATATACAGACCTCTTCCCAGAGCTTATTATATCGATCTTGCAAACTATTCTTTGCGATTAGCAATTGCTTCTTTTCATCTTCTTCTTTAGCAAGCGTACTGTTCAGCTCGCGAATGCGTTGTTGATACTGACTTACTTGATCGTTTCCTGGGTTGCGCTAAACAATGTGTATAAAAAAGTTGGGTGAAATGATTCCAACCGGCACACAAGTTTGCCTATCAAATACATACATGCCGCCTCTCTTCGTCCAATGCCCTTGTCAGTGATGCAAATTTCTTACTGTAAGCTTCTTGAATAAGAGTCAAGCCTGCTTGAAGCTATAAAAAAAAGAAAAAAAAGAAAAGAAAAGAAATTGGCTACTCCATAAGAACGATTTGATACTCGATATTAAATTTAATTAACCCCCTTGGGAAAAAAAGTCCATACCTGTTCATCTGGTTCAGCAAAGTAATCGGTCAAAGTTATTGATGGATTCATTCCACGATTGTACACTGCCATCATTTCTTCCCGCACTGAAATAGAATCCTCTGGATCAATCGGTACACCAGCCTTCCATGGCACATAAGCCGAGTAATTAGATAGAATCGAAGGAGACCGATTAGATAAAGGCTTTTGCAGAAACAGTTTTTCAAATTTCTCAATGTCCATATCAGCCAAATCCATATCATCTGTAGCTACACTCGCAGAAGACGGTGTAGGCGATATTCCACGATGAGCAGCAATAGCATTAATTGCCTTTCCCGTCGACGGCATGGATGATTTTCGGTGCAGCCTGGCGCCGGAAATTTGTCCAGGAGATCCTTTTGTCGGAGCCGAGTTTAAGCGAGAAACTGTTGGGGCCGTTCGACCCGATGGTTTTCTGGCTTCGTTCATTGTTTTGGGAGATGCTGGTTTCGCAACAGTTTTCGAGTCTGCCAACACGGACTGTCGACGTTTGGCGGTTGAACTGTTGGATTGTTTGTCGGCTGAACTGTTAGATTGTTTGTCGGCATTTGCAGATGATGAACTCGATATATCATCCTTACGTTGACGGCTAGGTGACACTACTGACCCAGTATCAGATATGTCTGACATGGCGTTCGATACAACTGTTAGTTGCATCCTGTTCCTTGTTTCTCCACCTGTTATTGTAACATTAGAATTGCTTCTAACCATAGGTTGTGACGACGTTGATGCTCCTCTTGATCTTGTAACAGTCATTTTACTGTTTTCTATCCCTTCATTAGTGTTCTGGCTTAGAGACGATTGCTCTGAAATACTACTAATACTTTCACTCCCACTTCCACTACCACTACCACTATCACCATCATCACTACTACTGCTATCTCCAACACTACTATTGTTCGAGGCCCTATCCTGATCCATCCTAGGAGATGTATTGTTTGTGCTGTGATAAACTGTTACCGATGATTCAGCAAGACGATTTTCGATGATTATACTTTGTCTTCTGAGAGGAGAAACATTATTCTTAGACACTAATTGTTCGACGGTAGCAATAGATACTGGTCTGCCATTTGTTGTTGACTTTTTCTTAGGGGACGATGACGCTGATAACGATTGCTTTGACTTTCCTGCAGGTCCTGTTCCCATAGATGATGACACTCCCAGGAAATGATGTTGATAATTGTAGTGAGTAGAAGTAGAAGCTCAAGAAGGTTATCGAATTTTTTTTGCTATTGATTGGCGTTTGTCTATCCTATTCTACTGCTGCAGGGGGAGACCCACCCACGACTGTTCCACAGCGGCTTGTTCAGCATGTCGTCTCGCTCAATATGGAAATTTACTGCTAAGCATACGGTACAGCGTCAATCAACACCAATCTGAGAGAGGAACTATAGTATTGTACGTCCAAATTACCCATTGGTGAGTCATATAATGATCTGTAGTAGTCAATGCGGGATGCGAGCTTAATGAACCAACTACGGCAAACGTTATGTGCATATATGTATCTGTGTACATTCGGTCCAAGGTAAAATTGAGTGCATCCATCCTATATTAATATACCATATGCATGCTCGATCATCTTTTGCCGAAATGCATAATGAAACAAGCCCACTATAGAATTAATACATGTGTTATCAGTCCAAGCAAATTTGAAATACTTAAACACATGTTAATTTTCTTTTTCCTGAAATGATCAAAGTTAAATGTGTCCTACTTCTGTACTTTCTGTCGATCATAATAATAACCCGGAGATCATCGCGTAATTGTCACAAACCCCCAAAAAGCTTTTTGTTTTCTGATACTTACACAAAGCAAAAGTGTCCGTTGAGCAGATCCATCATTGTGGCACTACCACAAGCGAAATGCTTTCATTCTACTCGTAAAGAAATATAGACATTTGGCATCTTAAAATAGCAGAAGTCGCTTTTGATGTCAGCACGAATCCGCAGGATCGGGAAAGCGAACTTAGGATAATAAAAACCCCGATTATAGAAGGCATTTGATGACAAGATACGGTTTCGTAGTATGAAGAACAATGTGAAGTAATGAAATCTTACGCAGCAGTAGTTTATATTGCGCAATGATAAATCCTTTGACATTCTCGCACTCCCGCTGTTGCATCCATCGTTGAGGCACTAATGGACTGTTGAGACTCCCACAACGAAAGACGTGATAAATATTTCACGTCGTGGTCTCGTTTCAATCATTTATGACAGTCTAAATCGCCGAGCTCCCGAACCAGGTTTTCCTAGAAACCTAACACACACCTGTTCATTACAGACATAGCTCTGTAAGCAAAATCAAGTTATTGTAGAGCTTGTTGAAATGCTGACTCGCAATAATGTTAGCCGAATACTGATAAGCCTTTCGATTTAATATATGGATTTATACGTGTCAAAATTAAATCTTGCGACTATCAACCATTCAGACCAATTATACCAAGTAAAAAGCAATTGTACAAGAATGTGAGGATAATATGTCCAAGCAGAAATTAATTGCAAAATAGAAATTCTTTTTTAATAGATGTATTGGAATGAAGTCTGAAAGGCATGATGGATTGAAATATATTGGAAAGTAAAGTTTTTATTCAGTTCAGACACAGGAATTGATGTCCACAAAATGTTATTATTATTATATACTGTAAGTCAATAAATAAAATAGTTTTATTTCCAATAAATAGAAATCTCTTACATAGACAAAGTCAGTTATTATTTTGGTAAGAGAGCTAATGCTGAAATCCGGCTGAAGTTGAAACTAACCAATGGGGTTAGAGAATAAAATCTGATCAACCAATGAAAGGTCATTGTTTCAGCTTCAGCCGTATTTCAGCATCAGCCGTGACAATTAATATTATATGGGGCATGCTGCAACAAAATCAGACAAAGTGAACATTTTATTATGTGACATAAATGAGAGGCTGATTATGATGTGGCTGTAAAATTGACCAGTGTGACTGATGACGTTTTGAAAAGTAATAATGGTGCTCATTCATAACTTATGGACTTGTTAATTTTAATCTTCACTTTATCATACCAGAATGTGATGAATATAAACCATAACATAATGAATATAGGATTATCCCTATATAAAAAATATTAATATGAAACTAATTTACATTAAATCCACTATGGAACCAAAAAATTACAGCACCATTAGAAGCATTTTAAAGAAAGCTCAAGGAGAAAAAATTGCTCCCTATGTTTTTAAAATCAACGATACCCAAACTCTTCAGGAATATCTAGATCAAGAAAAGATTACTTATGAAATTTATCAAGAAGAACGAAAAATAGTAAACCATAAACGAACATTAACCCCAACTTATGGTGAACCAAGAAAAAAACGAAAACTAGAAACGTAAAGCAAATATTTGTTTCGCTATTATTGTTAATAATTATCGACGATCGGGAAGAATAGCAATAAATACGATAATTTTGGTTCGCTGTGCCCCAAGTACTACAAATTCGACACAATTCAAAACTTGCATCGTATTAGAAATAATGGGTAAGTATTAAAGGTTAATAATAAGAAACACCAGAATAAATCATTACGTTTGATCGGCAAATTAACTGTTTCAAGTCCATGATTGTGACGTATGTTTAATGAACGCTTGTAATTTTGAAATTGGTATAAAACCAGCACCATTTCACCGCGCTTAAAGTAAGCAAATTACAATCGATCGAGTTGCAACCGTATTATCGAAAGCATACTTTTATCATCCACAAAAATCAAATAACAATCCCACCAAAATGTTCACTTTCGCTATTGAAATCTGCGAATTACTGCTGCTGATCGCGTTTATCGCTGGTACTTCGTTCTACTATAAAACTCACAATCAAGTCCGCATCATAACTCGAACGCTTTTTCAAGCGATAAAACAAAGGACAATTGAATCAAAATACCAGCTGCTCGTTGAGCGAAAATACTTATCAAGTATAACATGTTTGTGGGAAAGTCTTAACAAGTTACTTGATAAAACGTCTGAGCTGGACTCAGTTTTATTTAACAAAGTGGTTTTAAAATTCCACAAATCGCGCGAAAGAAAAAGCATCATTGCTTTTATTCTAAAAGGCCTTCACCGACAAAAATTTTCGAGAAAAACGATCAAAGCGCTTAAAAGTTGGGTAGATAAAGAAAAGGAGAAGGGAAATGTAGACGTTAATAGCATTTATAACAATATATAGCATAGATTTCACTAGAGCGACCAAAGTATAGGGGTACTCATCAATGGCTTTGGGTCCGAGTATTTCCTCCCATGCAATCGCTCTAGTGAATATTAATATGCAAATGTAGTGTATATACTTGTGTTAAGAGTAATATAAATAAATATAAAAGGAATCAATTGTTGTAACTATGCCTGATTATTGTACTTTATTTTTTGCAATTGGCATTCGAACTCCTAAAACAAAAAGAGCGCTCAAATTACCAGCTACGTGCCTAAGGTGCGACTCATATAGACAGCAGCGCGCTCAGTCATGTTACAATACGCATCATCATTGCATGTTCATCAAGAATACAATACAACAATTTGTTAATTGTTCCATAACGTGATATGCAAAGAAGCGTATAAAAGAGATTTCCTTTTGTCTCCATTATCCTTTGT